ATTTTTTTATTTTGAATTTATTTTAAATTAATTGATATTTTTTTATTTTTTATAAAAGACAAATATTTTTTTTACTTTAACCTTATCATCACTCACTCGTTTTAATTAATTATCTAATAACAGAATAATTAAGATAATCCATTCCCGCATGCATTCACATTCGGGAAATTAACAAGCATTCAGCCCCAAATAATTTTTGATTGTTCTATTCTTTCTTTTGTTTTATAATAGGTGAAATCTAACCATAAAACAAAAATAAAAGCGAAAGAATTGACTTAAACACAACTAACCTAAATCACTGGAACACAACAAAAGTATTCACCCATCAAAATCCATCTAACTTGATTTGGACTTTCGAGCCTCACTACCTCACATGATTGTATAGAAAAAATTGGTCTCCTTAATTATATTCCTATAATGATGAATTTAGATAGATCAATATTGAAAGAATGCTGATCTATTTTAGAAAAAAGAGATCTATTTTAATCTCTATACATAAAATCAATGAAATTTAGTGGAGATTGTGATTTCCTTAGTTTCCAACACATTATCAAGAAATTAGTCTTGTTTTTTTTCCTTCAAGTTATCATTTTCCACTGAACCAAGCATCCATCAAAGCTAATTTCATCCTGTTATTCACCACCAAGGTAATCCTACTTCAGCACAAACATGATGCATTAATGAAAGACACCATGAAGTTGAAATTTCTGAAATTTGAGGGACTGACCCAAGCAAGATCAATTTTAGGGAAATTCTTATTCTAGTGTTTGGCTTCCCAATTAGATATCTATGCAATCCTTGAGGCACTTCTTTTCAGGGATAACTGAAAATCCCTTATTATCTATGTTTCATAATTCCAATATGATATATCCATTTTTAGGAACTGAAAACCCTCCCATGATAGCAACCTAATTCTAATTTTATGCCGTAGCAAAATCTTGAAAGTAACACTATTTGGTTAATAACCCATAATACAGCAATGACTAAAGTTGAAATTACATAGTCTAAACTTATTGGTAGAAAATCAACTACTAAAAAAAAGAAGCTCCACAATTAAATCCCCCCTCCCTTTTTTTTTTTTTTTTTTTTTTTTTTTGGGTATATAGGGTAATTGTGGCTCCATATTTACCAAGCTACTTTGAGAAATTTATGGCAGTCACATACCTTTAGATCCTGGCCATTAACTTTGATCATAAGTAGCTTTATGTCTTCTCCTTCCAAAAACAATGGAACACAAGAACCTGTTGGAGAAAACAAATGGTGATGGTGGTATAGAGTCCTTGAAAGTCAAGCTTGAGCACCAAATCTTGTCATAGAACAATATCATTTTAGCAATTCTCAACTCCGTATTGTTACCTTCTCCCCCATTTCTTCTCTTTCTCTCTCTCCTTATTTAGTTGCCCAAAGTCTTCTACATTTTGTGCAACCCAATAAGTACCACATCATTTGATGCCTTCTTTTTCCCTATCATTTAATAATTTGTGGCAATTCCTCTATGACAAAGAATTATGTAAATAATAATGAAAATATTAAAAAATTAAACAATTTCCAAATATTTCTACCCTTCTAAATTAAAACTATGATTCTTCTAATATTACCATGAAAGTAATATCTTGTATCTCCACCATCCTTATTCTTCATAATATATTCTTGAACATATGAAATTTTAACTTCTAATATTTTGTTTTCAACTATTAAATTTTAATCAAAACTAGGCATTCATTAATAAAGTTCTCTCTCCAAATCCATTAAGCAAAACATTCAAAGAAGCTTCAGATGAAGATGGCACAAAAGCTATGAAAAAATGCTAGAACCCTTTAGTCCTGAAGAAGGTGAGTGCTTTTATGTGGCAATCTTTACATAAAAGAATTTGAACTAAAGACAATCTGATTGCTAAAGGAATATTGAAAGAGAATCTCAAGCAATATGCAATATGTGTGGGTTATGTGTTGAGAGTGTGGATCATTTATTACTGAATTGCATTTATGCTTGGAAATTATAGACAAAATGCTTAAGATGGTGGGGTTTGAACTATGTTATGCACTGCAATTTTGAAAGGGCTTTCTAGCAACATGTTGGGTCACTCAAAAGAAAGAAGCAAAGTGGAGGACGGGAGATTATATAGTTTGCCGTTGTTTGGACCATATGGTTGTGTAAAAATGAATACCTTTTCAAAGACACTGTAATTAATGAAGAAAAATTATTTACTCTAGTTCAAACACGATCCTATCATTGGATAATAGGGAGAGCAAGGTAGGTGAACTTTTCTTTAATGGACTGGATCATGAGACCAAGAGAATGCACAAATACACTAAGTGGTTTTAGTAGCATACAAGGATGTTGAATTGGGAAGATTAGTCTTGATTCGAGTTGTTTTTGGTTGTACAATTTGATAAGGTTGTTGATTGCTAGTTATTAAGTTGAGAAATTCTTTTCGTGAGATTTTGATGTAAATGGATTCGAGTATCCCTTGTACTCTATTAATAAAATAATCTTTGCTGTTAAAAAAAAAAAAAACAATTGTCGCCTCCCCACTTTGTCACAACTCTAAACATCTACATGTGTTAATATAAATAATATTAGAACTATTTTATACATATATATATATAACCTATGTATATACCACAATTCACAATATAAGTGTCTTTATATTGGTCTCCTTTGATTTTGAAAAGCTAATGAATTCAAACTTATGTTATATTATGGTTACCACACCATTCATTTATTGCTAGAACTGAGTTACTTTTCTTGATACTAACCTCTCAATATCTGATAACCATATTGAATCCCAATTAATTTGGAATCGAATCACGTCGGACTTCATTATGGGGGAAGCTCTCCTAATATCTATTTCTTTATTCACAAGATTCAAACTCGAAACCTTACTTCGATTCCCCTTCCACTCGGACTAATAGGTCATTGATGCTAAAACTAAGTTGCTGCATTTACAGAGATCCCTCTTTTAATTTATTAATTAAACTCAGCATCTAAATTAGACTCCGAAAATGCTGATGTGCTGGAAAGAACAGATGGACAACTGCCTCGTTACCAACTCCATTCCCAATGCTTAAACTCACTGTTTAACTAGTAAACAAGATGCTCATCAACATTTTATAAAAAGTGAAGTTTTGTTAGCTGAAAAAACTTTTTGGCACATTTCTTCCCAAAACCAGACGCATCTGTTTACAGGCATTTTTTCCCTTTTTGGCTGAACTCTCCTTTTTAATCTTCCTTTTTTATTCGTGAGGTCGGCGCGAGATTGGATTTGGCTTTTAGACAATTTGGGTGGATCTAATCGCACAAGTGCCACTGTTTTTGCTTCCATAAATGAGGGATTTGAGGTCTGCGCGAGAGTGGTGGTCAAAATTCTCCAGATGCTAGGCAAGTGGGAGTTGGCAGCATCTAGCATTACTTGCTGGGACGAAAATGATTTCGGCATGACGCTAGGAACAAGGGTGAATTAATGAAAGAGAAACTCTGTAAAACATCTAAAAATAGAAGAAGTTTAACACTTCTGGAGATTAAAGGGGCAAAATATTCGTCACAATTTCTACATGTAACAATAACCGAGGCCTAGAAAGAGGGAGAGATGAGGAGGATCCTAGTCCTAGTATTAGGAAAGTTATACGAGGTTTCTTAATATTAATATTGAATTCAAAGATTTCCAGTGGTGCTAACTATTTAAGTAAGTTAATAATAACTTTTTTTCATTGAAAATAAAAATATTGAATTCGATTAACATAATATATAAGTGAAATAAGATAAAAAATAAAAAAAAGTTACCTTTTGTTATACAACAAATATAAATAAATAAATAAATAAAAATTTATAGTTACACTATTAAAATTCTCCATTTTAACAACTAATTATCAATAACATGGGAACTTTCAAACTTACACAACCACAAGTGGGGTCGAAGACATCCTATTAGGTGTTAGGTTGGGCGTTCTTTTTATGCTCCTAATTTAAATTGTACTTATGTTTCAAAAAATCAAAAAAATTGAATTTAAAAAATGTTTATA